AAATTCAGGATCAGTGACAAGAAACACTGCTCTTCAAAATAAATCTAAGATTAAGAGACTAATAAGCTCCATGTAGGCAGGGATCTGATCCACTTTGCTCCTTGATGTATCACCAGTCCCTAGGAAGACTGCATGGTACAAAAGCGTGCACTGAATAACATTTTTGGAATTAAGGAATTAGTTGCATTGTTAAAACCAGAATCTTAGGAGATGCCAAACCATAAAAATGTTTTTTTTCTTTCAGCTATTTCCATTATCGACTTCCACTTATGTTTTTAAGCGTTTGTATTTATAAAAATCCAAAGCAGAATAAAACATGTCCAATAAACTTTAACATTCACGTCTAAATAAATACTTATTAAGTAAATACTTATTCCTAAATTAACCTAAATACAGAGCTCGAATTTTGTGGTAGTTTATTCTAAAAATCAGGTGCTCCACAACTTCTCTAGTCCTATAAAAATCTACAAAATGTGAACTCTCATAATTTGCCATTTTTGAATGGGCCCTTCCTAACACACCTGTAACACACCACCAAGCTCTGAATCCTGTAAAGTAGCTCCTGAGTACCTGCAAAGAAATTCAAAGAGCCACACTGCTGCTTTTTAGCTCCTAAGACAAAGTAAATTCAATCAGTGTCAAAAATGGAACCACCCCATTTTCTACTACATTGCCGTATTTCCTTTCTTAGTTAAATATATTTATCTTTTTGTTTATTAGTTAGGCCTAACTAGTCTACACAGTAACTTTACATTAATACTAGCAGAGAGTAAAATTGATATTTTAAATTTTTTAAAAAATCAATTAAATAAAATAAAACTTTTAAATGAAATTAATATACTGTATTTATAAAGTGATTATACAGCAAAAATATCCAAGCTTACAATTTCACTGTTATTTATTATAAAAGCAAATAAGTTGGCCAGTAGAGGGCACTCACAAAAGGGGGGAAGAGCTGGCCACAGCCTTGAAGAGAAATGCATTTACAAATTGCTATGTGTACCTTACTTGAAAAACAGAATGTTTTAATAGACCATTGGAGTGAGCTAACGTAACATAATATTAATTTACAAAAGGTAAAGTTTAAATCTATGTTATGTTTGAAAATGTAACATAAACCTTATATCAGCGGCTTGAATTTGACCATTTAAGAAATGTTTAAAGCTATATGTAACACATACAAGGGTTTCAACCCCAGTACTATTGACATTTTGGGTGAGAACATTCTTTGTTGTGGAGACTGTCCTATGCACTGTAGGATGTTTAACAGCATGCTTGGCTTCTACCCTATAGATGCCTGGAGCAGCCCTCCCTCCCCAGGTTGTGACAACCAAAAATGTCTTCAGATGTTGCCAAATGTCCCCTCAGGGGCAAAAGTCACCTATCCACCTCTCACTGATAACTACTGTTACATATATATAAAACAGCTTACAACATTACATGAGACTTTACTTCTTCCACTCTCCAATACTGGTTGACTATAATTTTTCTCTCTATAATCTAAATACCTTATTCTGCAAGTTAAATGAATTCTATAATTAACATGGAAAAATAAAAGAAATAGAGAAACTGACAAATCATGGTAACTAAATATTCCATAGCTCAGAGCACTAAAGATAGAACAAATCAATCCAATTATGAATCCACTTTTTCTTACTGAGTAGAAAACTGTTTCATCAAAAAAGGGCATAATACTTGGGACTGAATTATAAGTGTCACATTAACAAAAGCATGCAGATGTCAAAGAATTAGAGCCTGGGAAAAAATACTTCTTGCTACATTGATTTTCACTAGCATATTATATCTAGTAGATAATCGATATATATTTGCTAATGATCAACTGATCATTCTGATCTCTGTCTATGACTACCTATTTTTTTAAAGACAAGATTTTTCTTCTTCTACCAAATCTTACCTTGAAAAAAACACTTCAGGGAATATGTTTTGATAACAAGTGATCTCTAAACTATAAAAGTGTGTATTTCTGACCAAGTATTGTGGCTGAGGCTTGTTTTGAGTTTTTAATAATCTTGTCCCACTAACGAGGTATTTCATTATCTCTTTGGAACTCTTTGGTGGACTTCATAAAAAATAAAAATAAAATTCTTCTGAACAAAAGTAAAGGTAATAATCATGTACATAACCTCAAGTATAAACATGTTCCATCTACATGTCATACCTGTCTATTCTATATCATATCTCTGCCATTAAGTTGCCATTAGATAGCAGGCTAAGTTCAAATCGGAATTAGTCTCCATTGTTAAATATTTTCTTAGCTCAAAACACAGCTAATTTTTCACTTTTAAGAAATTATATATGGGTACACTGGAAATTCCACTTAATTTGGTCTCAGAAAATTAAAATTCAAATCCCACTGCTTACCACCTAAATATTCCTAGGTGAGTTAGAACCTCTTAGAGACTTTTTTATCTATAAAATGAAAGAAATAATGACTACCCTCCTTATGAAGCTCATAGTGTTAAATCTTTAAAAATTCTAAATCACTAAAAAATGATAATACTTGATTTAAATTTCTTTCAATTCATTTCCTTTTTTAAAAAAATGTAGGAAAACTGATGAGAATTCCAAATGTACAGTCTATGTCCTCTTTAATTTTCTCTTTGACCCACATTATTCACCACTCAAAACCTAACAGCAACAGTGAAATCTCCTATCCTCTTTTTTAACTTTTTACAATAACACGGAGTCAGCATTTTTATTCAATCAACTATTTACTAAATTAAACTACTAAATTCTCTTGCCTTTCTTCTAGTTGAACGACACCAAGATCTTTACGTGTTAGTTCCCTCAGAGACTCACCGTAATGTGGGAGATAAGAGATAATCACATATACCTTTTCCTGGGTGGCTAAACTACATGGGGGAAAGTCAGTTTCAAAGTTCACAGATAATCAACACTTCCCAGAGTCAAGTATTCTGGTTTGGCAGAAACCATAACCAGAATTATGGGTTTAAGTTTATAAACTTTTCTAACTCCCCCAAATAAAGGATTAACTATTAGCTTTATTTCTTTAAGATTTATATTGCATTTTAACAATTTTGAACAAAAGGTTTCCTAACCTATTTTATCACATTGATGCATTCATGACCTCATTCTATGTGCATTTATATAGCATTCATGATCTCTGATGGGAAACAGAGCATAATGGAATTTCTTCGATTTTCAGGGAAGATGGAGAGAAGTTCTGCTAAAATCACCTTCCAAAATTCCAGGAAAACGTCTATGCTCAACCTGAATTCTATTAAAGTTTCCTTTCACATCTGATTTACATAGTAGAGTAAGCCAAGAAACCCCAGATTTGGAATACAGATTGAAATGGGTGAACTATTCAATCCTCCTCAAAGAAAAAAGGAAAACTATAGTTCAGCATTGAATTGACTTGTCAGAAGAAAATATGTAGACACTATTACATAGGTGGTCCCCTTCACTTAGACTGTTCCCCTTTACTAAGGCAAATACTTACATTTGGAAGCCAAATAAAAGTTGCTTACATGTTTAAATCAAATGTTTGCAAATAAGCATTACTTCTCCATTTTTTAATAGTACCAAAAATATTTGACATTTCCTTACAGTTATCTAATCAATCCTCAAAATTTTAAACTGCACAAACAACTTCCCAAGGCCACCAATGCCCTCAGAATCCACCTGAGTGCAAAGTATTTCTTCAAGACATTACACAGCACAGGACCTTGATAGGGCACTTTGACCCATTCTAGATTCCACAGCTTGGGACTTGGAGAAAGTTCTGGGAAATTTTTCAAACTAATTAAAAAAAAATTAACACATTAGATCTAAAACAAAAACTAATGGATTAGGAATGCTTAACCTGGGGTAAAGCAGCCTAAGAAATAATCTGACAACAAGGCTATTTCAAAGACAAGGTGATACACTTATTTCCAATCTGAAGATTCAGATTACACATAGACTAAGCCAATAATTACATTCTGGAAAAGAGTTAAAAAGGACAGTTATGGAATATCTCCTTCCTGCAGGTCTTTGGGATTAAATAAATCCTTATCTGCTTCGAATAACTGGAGTCTAGTGCTGTCAGAAAGCAGTAGGAAATACTACCTGACCTCTCAAGATTTCTTGCAGGCCTTTATTCTATCATTTTGCTGCGGGCCTTTACTCTTGTAAATTTTCATGAAAGTAAAAAAGTACGAAAACGATCCTCAAAAGCTTATTAATCAAATTGTAATAAAAAATAATCCTAACATTTCCTTGAGTAAATTAAAAAAGGACCACAAAGCAAAGGTAAGGTTTGGTAATGGAACCTTCATATATCACACTTTAGGCAAATAATGGGCTTTTTAAAATTCATCAGGTAGCTGTAGGTTCTCCACTACTTTAATGTTGAGGGGAAAATAAAAAACTACTACTAATTAAGTTAAAAAAAAAAATCAACCATCGAACAATCATATTTCACCAGTACGATTCAATCTAACTTCTACCTGTGATGTTGAAATACATAGAAACCCATAAAAAGCTACATTAAAAAGAATGACTTGTAGGTACAGATAAGATGCAAATTCCTATTTCCACCCTCTCACAAAATTCTGAAATACATTTCCAATCAAAATGCACATACACTGACACACAGTGAATGTCATGGACCTTGATATTCTCCTGAGAGAAATAAGGCTCCTTATTATCTTTGGCTATATATATCTTCAGTTAAAGCCTTAAAACCCAAGTACATTTCAGATAACTTAATAAAATAACTTTCAGTATAATCACCTTGTAGTAAGTACTCACAAAAATGACCAGAGAAACCTTTTTGGTACCATAGGATGGTCTATCAAAAAAAAAATATATATGTCGGGCTGGCCAGTTAGCTCAGTTGATGACAGTGTGGTGCTATTAACACCAAGGTTCAGGATTTGATCCCTGTACCGGCCAGTCACCAAAACAACAAAAAACAAAAACAAAAAAAGGACGGTCCTACACAAGTAATATGCATATATTAAAACAAGATTTACCTCTATCGTAGGATCATATTCATCCACAAAGTGATTCTGAATTAGCTGTATCGTCAAGGCACTCTTGCCTACGCCACCAGCTCCAACTACCACAAGTTTGTATTCAGTCATTTTCAGCAGGCCTTATAATAAAAATAATGAAAATGTGACTAAATTAGAATAAATGTCACATGAGGTTAATACTCTATCAAGTACGCTACCAATACCTTTTGATACAAACCCACCTTTATATGGAAAATTATTTCAAAATACCTCACAAAAACTGAATGACGAAAACTTCAGTTAACTACAGATGTATATTGTAATGAACTGTGCTTCATTTACAAACTTCCCCATCAACATTTAAGAAACACGCATATAGAGTACATAGACAGTTCTTTTGCCTTATATTGACGTGATTCTAACTAGACAGCCAGACTGCTGTTCTCTAGCAGCTAATAGTTCTCAAAGAAACATATCATGATTTCACTCAGTACAAGTGTCTAGCATAGTGCTCTATACACTGTAGACACACCCACAGAAAACTTGTTGAAAGCTGTCTCCACTCCTATGGTTGCTGTACTCCTAGCTGACTCTGGCCTCTAAGAGTTAGAAGGAGATAAGCTAAGAGTGTCTTTGTTGGAGCCAACAACTATAGAAAACCTTTTTAAAGCATCATCATACTACCATAGTTCTCCTGGATAGGTAGCAAGAATCAAATGGAGGTTGCAGGGACAAGCGTGAAATGAAGCTGGAGTATATGGTGGGGAGATAAAAATTTATAGACACTGAAGCAGATAAGTACAATATCTGATGACATTTTAATTTGAAAAATATCTGCTGGGGAAAATAAAGGTAAAAACTAGGAGACCTGATTGTAAATAAACACTAAAAACATGCAGCATCCTATTTATTGAAGACCAAAAGTTATCCAAGTAGGCACTCTCTCCCCACCAAGAAAAAGGCAATCTGGTTTTCCAAATGGTAACATACTAACTTCACCTTATTCCTGAGCCCCCTCACAAAGAGCACCACAGGCTAGAAAACTGTTATATCATGAATGCTATAGCACAGCCCCCTGTCCTACTCTGCTCCACCTATCCTTCCCTGCTGCTTATCTAGGGCCACGTGGACAGCCACTACAAATATGTATTTTATCTCACTTGCCCCATGTTTTATTCCAAATGTAGGCCATAGCAAATGGGGCAAATGAGGAGAAACACACCAAAATGTATCCTCTAGCTCCCTGGCCAACCCACCCCCAAAACAATCTGGATAGCCTAGAAGAACAGTTTTCAAAATGTTCTTCTTAGGTTCCTAACACTTTTTGTGGGTCCCAGAGGTCAAAACTGTTTTCATAATAATACTAAGATGTTCTTTACCCTTCTCATTCTCATTCTTTTACAAGTGTACAGTAGAGTCTTCCAGATGTATGATCACAATAGATTGAACGCAGATGCAGATATGAGAATCCACATATCTTCTATTAAGCCACATAATTAAAGAGATTTACTAAAGTATGAAACAATGCAACTCTTCTCGGTAATTTTTGGTTTTGTTTTGGAAAATAGTTATTTTTCATAAAAAATTTTATACATGTTACCAAGTAATGGGCTTATTATCTTTATTTTTAAATGAATTAATAATTTTCTAATATGATAAATATTTACAGACTCTACACAAATCAAAGGATTTTGAGATCCTCAATAATTTTTAAGAGTGCAAAGGGGTACTTAAGACCAAAAAGTGTGCTAGCCTAGGAGATACTGTGGACAGGTATTGGGTTAGAACTTAGTCATATATACATGTGTGAACTGAGAGACGTGCACCTTCTACTTGTTTATGCAGTGGTTGTTTCCAGAAGGAAAAATCCTTGAATCACATTTTTAAAACCAAGGAATATTTAAATCCACTAGAAGGAACTGGGTTCCAAAGGAGTCTTACTGAATGAAGATCATAGGCCAGACGGAGTCCCCTCACTCAAAGTTACAAAAACTAGCAAGGGGTGGAAATGGGACTACAAGAACCTAACAAGTTTGCTAAGAAAAGAAAAAAATATCACTTTTATCATAAAACTAAACTATCATCTACTATCTCTTAAAACCAAGTACGCTTGTGGATGACTATAGTCTGAAAGTAAAAAGTGCTGATATTAAACATATTTGATATCTGTAGTCTATCACATGTAGGAGGTCAGCATTTTGGACCCAAGTCACTTAAGAGTAACACCAGTCTCATATGGTTAATTCTGAGCTGATTACAAGCAGACTTTTTCCCTTTATAATTTATTTTTAAGTGATTTTCCATTACAAACATAACATGTATACTGTGTAACAACTAGAAAATACCTTTCTGTTTTTTAACCCCTTGTTTTGATGGATATCAAGATTTTAAAAGGTTAGCTTAGGACTTCAGCTATAACTTGCACATGCCTAAAAGGATTTATTTCAGGCAGTTAACTGGGAGACTGCTACAATTAACCCCTCTTGTCAGTCAGTTTAGATAACCTTGAGAGTGCTGTCTAGGAGTGCCCCACTTGTGACGGGGAACAAATTTGTACGGATGAGGGTAATACAGTAGAGATGGGGAAAAGAACAAGAACAGGCAAATTAAACTTCAAATACTGTTTTAGCTACGGCTGTCTACACTCAACTAGAAGGGAAAAGCCCTGTTTGTGCTCTGAGGGTTTTCTTCATATGTTTTAACTTGACAAAGCAAACAGACCTTCTGGGATTAACTTTTTCCTTTTCACCGTGGGTCACGGGCTTTACGGGTAGGGTGTTGGCCACCTGTTCTTCCACCACCATCTCTACCTCCACCTCCTCCTTTGTGGCCACAGCAATGTCACAGCCCATACACGGGGGAGGGGAGCAGTCAGGAACTCGGAGGCAGACGCATTTTTTTCCAACACAATAACCTCCAACAGTGGTCTCTGAGCACTTTCCTTATGCTCTCCCAGAACGTGACCCACACCTCCCCCCGCGCACCGAGAAGGACCACTATCCGTCCAGCCTGCGCTCGAGGGAGAAGTTTAGACCTTCGTCCTAGAGATGCTAGATGCTGCAGAGAAGGCAGTGCCGAGGCAGCCGAGTGCTGGGCAGGGGGGAAGAGGTGCGGGAGCGGAGAGAGCGAGAGGACGACGAGGGGGAGGGGAGCGCGGCGGGAGTAACCTCCACCGCACCGAGGGGCAGCCGGCGGCCGCGACTTTCTCCCCCGCCGCCTCCAGCCGCGGCTCTCGGGGAGGAGGAAGGAAGGGGTTCCCCGTCCAGGAAGCAGCACCAGCGGCGGCCGCCTCTAGCCTCACCCTCCTCAGCCCCGCACCGCCCATTCCTCACTCCCCGGGTCGCCGCGTCCCCGCGTCTCCCCTCGCAGACCCCCCACCCCGCCCGCCCGCTAGCTCGCTCGGGCCCTGCGCCCGCGTCCCCTCTCCGCCCCTCCCGAGACCCCTAATTCATTCACTCG